GGATGCGATATGCCATTTTCTTGATGGTGTGGTATTACTGTACTCTTACAATTCGAGAAAGCATTCTTATCATCAATGGCTCCAAGTGAGCAATTTTTTCATCAATATCGGCACTCGTGACGGACGAGGTTGCGGGTAGTAATGAAATAAGTTTCAGATTGGGTTCCTGGTGGGTGGCTCATCACTACCTGGCTTGTGTGATCGGTGGTGTGGCTCTTACTTGGCCAGATGATGCTTCGTATCAGGTTAGCGACCTCATTTTATTTTTCTTAGTCGCCGTGGAATTTCTACGGATTACAGATTACGGATCTCTACGGATTTCTACGGTAACAAAATTGATGTTTGCGGTGCTGTCTCTAACCACTGAATTTATTGGAATAGAGCAGACTTAGGACCACTATAAGCCATCTTACATAAAATTAAGAGTACAAGTGTGAGAGTGAGAGAGCGGAAGGGGTATAGTTTCAAATGACCACGTGCACGATCCGTGGTGTCGCGTTAGCGACGCCTACTAAGGCTCTCATCATTCGGATTCTTTCCACACTTGTAATCTAGGTGAATACCGCCAAGCGGAATAAACGCTGGTGCTTAGAAGATAGTACAAGGAGCTAAGTTGGATCATACTCAGGGTCAACTGTCCTTTGTGCCATGTTCAACGGGGTCATATTTGGTATTTCATGAGAAGGGACCGTCTCTCTGAGTGGGATTGTGCGAAGGCTTTTTAGTGTTCGAAATTTTCACAGAGGGACGGTGAGGATTGTTGAGGGAACATGATATAGTGGCGAAGACTACAACATGGTCTGGAGCGATAAAAATTGAAGCATTTTTGTCATATATACCCCTCCTCCCGTCCTTCCCCTTTGAACAAGGTTCTTGAGGGAATTCAGGGCGCAGCTAGAGTGTGTAGACTGGTCACAGAATCAATAACTGTAGAAAAAGCTTATAGCGAGGGTGGCGGTGGGGGTCGTGGTGGCGTGTCGTGGAAATTTTGCATCACGCCACGAGTGACGGGAGACCTTTGGTCCTACGTCCAGGGCAAATAAGCATTATATCTCTATCGTCGGTTATTAATATCAGACTTTTCTTGTAGAAAAAAAGCACTGACTTGTGCATTGGCTGACTCCTGCAAGCCATTTTATAAAACCACGTGCATTGCGTTTCACTACGATTCCGGCTGGATGTAGAATGCGTGGAGCATCCAAAAACAACTGATAAGCGGCAATTAATTCACCCTCTACCGTTTATAAAAGAAGGGAGTTTCCAAACAGATGTAGTACTAGTCGATGAGACGGAATGAGCTGGCCTTCAATCTACCACTCATCATGGTACATTTCAAGGATTTAGAGTAACGTTGAAGATCTATAACGTTGAAGACCTGCACGATATGTCACGTAGATGTACGGTCGCTTGACGATGGCAGTGCTTCTCTAATGGTCCTGGCAGCGTATAACCAGATGTGCTCATTCCCCATTTGTGAAAACTCATCCTGGAGCTTGCTGCCCTTGAGGGTCTGTGGGCGCATAAAATGAAGAGAGCATTTGTGAATGGTGAAACGCTCATGGATTTGAGGAATTTTTCAAACCTTTCACAACTAATCAAACCAGCTATATATGTGATTTATTTATTTGTTTATTTATTACACCGGAAAGGCACGCACATAATGGAGAACAGGATTTCGTAAAACCAAACAGTCCATGATAAAAAAAAATGAGAAAGAAGAGAACAAAAGCAAGTCAGAAGAAGAATAAGCGGGCAAGCCACAGTGAAAAGTGGTATAAATAGAAACACGTCGTTTGCAAGCAATGCCCCCGGGGGTCTCGCGGAAATTTTGTTTTTACCGAGGCTTTCCACTCACAATTCTTGCTGTTTGCCGGTTATATTTGCCTTGTGCAGCAATTGCAGTACCAATACCAAAGTGGTTGCCTTCGACGGCTGCATTCGCTGGGCCACGGCGACTCAATGGACGTGACCCTCGGTAGGTTGAATTGGTTCCAATGTTTAGAGGCCGTGTTTACAATGTTAATTTCCTTTTCGCTCCGCGGTTCAAAAAGCGCTTAGGGATTGCAACGCGATTCATGGGAAAACCATAAGATTCTTTTTTTTTTCTGAGAATCCTTCCTTTTTCAGAGGGTTTCGCCACGTGGATGTTCCAAGGCCTTACGTTTCTTCCCTTTCTGGTCGTAATGTACCTGCTAGAACTGAACAACGCTTACACGCTGTACAAATTGTGGAAAACTCAGGAGTGTGCTTGGCAGGTTAGTCCTACATAGCGCAGATTGAACTAATGTTGTACGGTTTCTGAACGAAGAATTTCATTACATGGCTCATAAATCCAGGTACCAACACTTTCACTACTGTTCCTCATCGTCGGTGTTGGAAATATCGCCATGGTTTCGCTAATCGTCTTCAAGAAAATGAAGGAAAACGGGAAGTCACGTGTGAAGAAGATTCTTCAGCGCTATCCCTCAATAGCTAATTTCCAGTAGTTTATTTGTTCATGAGAGCACGTGAGGTAGGGTAGAATCATGCGGACGATGTTTTGGGTAACAGTTGTGTAAGATTTGGTGCTAGAGAGTAGCCACTTTGGTGTATGCTGCAACGCCTATATGTCGTCATGATTCATATCGAAGTACCTCATCATTATAGACCACTTCAGTGACAAATCATATAACATGTGTTTGTCATCGTAAAAAATTCACCATTACGGGTTTGTCAATGCAGCATTGACAAGAATAAACATCAGCGTTTCCGCTAAGTTGTGTTGTATATAGTTCTGTTCAGAGCAAGATTACCTCGGCTTTGATTGCCGTTACGTCCGTAAACATTAGTGTGCGCTCGTAGTTCATTCAAATCACAGCAATAAAGACGAATTCGACTGATGGTCGCGTACAGTGGCAGCTGAGGAAGGCAGGGGGCATGTGAGAGCAATCGACAGAATCAGTGAGACATCCAACGGAAATGTTGCGGAATTACGAAACGTGAGACCGCGAGCGGTGTTGTAAATGGTGGCCGTTTTCATACGGGTATAAATTTTTCATATAGGCGTAATTAAAGCGAGGAATTACGATGAGAATGAGTTGGGTTTATATTGGAAGTGGGGAGCTGAATAACGCCTAAGTGGTGAAAAAATCAGAAAAATCCGCCCAGGACGCGCAAAGAGGAGACCCCTTTCTTTGCCGTTGATCTCCGATGACGGACGAACTAGCCAGCTAAGGGGGTTGGTTTGATACATGTTAAAACGATAGACCGAGCAGCACTCCAGCAAAGATCATGTTTCGGTTGATGGCTCATTTCACGGGGAAGTTACAGGAAGTGGAATCTGTCATCGAAATGGTCAGATTAATAATACTGCCAGCAACACACTACTGGGCGGAGCACAAGCGGCGGAGGCGGAGCTCGAGGAAATTCGGCAGCCGGGAGGCTTGACTCTCGCTCTAAAAGAAAGGGAGATTTTGGAGTTGTCAATCTTTGTGATTTTTCTCTAAAATGGTCGGTGGTTTTCGGCGCGTCGCGTAAGTGGAACGGTAACACGTACGGCAAAATTCACAATGAAAATTTTGGGAACATGCGAGTTTTTAGCATCTAGGATCCATCACCCACCTCATTCAAACGCATACTATCGAAAAAGGAAAGAGGCGCTATAAAACATCTGCTTTCAGATATTTGTCATGAGCTTGCTGAGTGAAATTTATCAAACAGGTGACGCTTGTGAGATTTTGACTTCAGGCGATGTCATAGTTTACGAAGTCGAGCGATTCGCTAGCGAAGCAATTGGATCAGAGCGTTCGGGAGAAGTCGTAGGTGTCTGTCCCATAAGTTATGTCGTTTCATCCAGATAAGGATGGTTCTTTGAAAGTTCTATGTTTTCACGTTGTCTTGGGCAAAAAACTAGTCAATGATTGTCGACAATCGTCGACCAAATGTAATGCCTAAGTTTAGTGTAATGTTGGTTTACGGTAGTGCTTTAGATTTGAAGATATGGCAGATTGTTTTCATGTAAAAGTCAGCGAAGATTCATAAGATTCCAGCGCGATGGATATAAGGGAGCCGCCCACGATCGAGGCCTTTGGCTCTTGGAGGTTGCTGCCTAGTCAACGTCTTCGAGTTTCGTCCGTTTCGTCTACATCGCTACGATTGCGTCCATCGTCGCTGTATTCAACGGAAACTAGTTCATCACGCTATCTACTATTTCATCAATAAAGCTTCGGTTGATTCGTCTGAGGTCACTTGTATTCTACTGGTCGCATTAGCGTTCTTCATTGGGAGTATTCTACCGTGGGACGCCGCGTTATGGTGCATCGGGACAACTACGAATCCGGACTTTGTCAGTGAGTTTTTGAAAACGAGTTTTCAACTCACACATTTTCGGAATCAGAAATCGATTCTACTAACATTTTCAACCGCGTGGCTCCGTTTTTTTTCTGCCGCAAATCAGTTTCGCAATTTTGGATACTGGTACTTAGGGCAATAAGTCTCGAAGACCATATAAGGGTTACCCTCCTAACAATGGCGGCGCAGTTAACCTCGTATAAACGTCAACTAACTCAGACCACTAACAAGTTAGAGACAGTAGTACAGCGTTTCAAAGAAGAACAGTTGGAAACCCTTTGCGTTACGGAAGACCTATCCCCAAGTCGATTATCAAGATGCTCACAGACGCCTAGAAGAAGGCATAGGGGCAATTCGAGTTTGCACCTCACGCATCGAGAGTCTTCTTGGGGATTACGCCACAACCTTAGATGCGCTGCAGGAGCCATCCAAAAAGGAATACGACGATTATGACGAGTATGCCAAAAAGGCAGAAGAGGGTCTGGCCAAGGCTATCGACTATTTGGTTCTCTTAGAGGCTAGGTCTCGGGCTTTCGTTTCATGTACTAACATTCGCGCCCCTCGAAACACAGGGGCCGTTACAGGAAAACGAGTTGAGTATTCCGCTAAGGGCTCGAAGAATGGAACTCCCAGCGCTGCCCGTACCCACATTTAAGAGGCAATATTTGGGAGTGGGAGAATTTCTGGTCCTTATTTGAGGCCAATATCCATTCTCAACCCCTACCCGAACTCTATAAATTCAACTACCTTCTGAATGCACTAAAGGGGGACGCCCTAGCGGCTATCAAAAAGTTCCACGTGTCCCCTGAAAACTATTCTAAGGCTATCGAGTTCTTAACATCCAAATACGGGAACTCGGAAGAGTTGGTAAATAAGCTCATAGACAGGATTGATAGGATGCAGTTACGATCCTCGTCTTTGAAAGATCAACGCGTTTTCTTTGAAGAGCTTCAAGTCGATAGTTTCGCAATTAAAGCAGAAGGGTGAAAACGTTAATAGTCAATGGCTTCTTAAGCAGGTGCTCTCCAAATTCCCTCTGGTAGTTCAGCGTAAGGGTCTTGGAGAAAAAACACGCGTTACCTCACGACACTCGCTTTGAAATGGATACCTTAATGAACTTCTCTGGAAGAGATCATTTCGAGTGAAGAGACGGTTTCGCTTTTTACGGGAAAGTCTTCGGAGTTTCAGAAGCAGTCTCAGCATACAGAAAGAAAAAGAGGTCACCCCTCCAACGCGTGTATGTACTGCCAGGGAAACCACAGGCCTGCTGCATGTGATACTTATAAGACCCCACAGGAACGCTCTCGTTACTTACGGGAACATAAACTGTGTTTAATCTGCGCATCTCCGAAGCACGCAACATCCGAGTGTAAGAAAAGATTGTGCTTTGTATGCCAAGGGACTCACCACACATCCTGCTGTTTTAAGAACGTTCCAGAATCGCGCTTCCCTTCGCAAAATATGAGTCACCCAACAACGCGCCGCAACCAGCCACATCCCAGGGAAGCAGTACAGCAAAAAAGGCACAACAAGCCCTCTAAACCCATCCGAAAGGTCAACCAAGTTGGTACACAAAATGACGTGGAACTGATTTCGTTGATTCGTGAACAACAGAGGCCACATGAGAGCGGCCAATCGTTGGAACCAATTATGAATACGACGATTTGTGAACTCCAGTCGGCACAAAGGGATCGAAAACTCGAGTGTACATTCTTACCAACAGGGGAGTTGACCGTGTTCGACCCGACATCTGGAGGTCTCAGAAAGGTGGCTGTTCTGTTAGACACAGGGGCAGAATTGTCATTTATTGACAGTTCACTGGCTGATGAGCTGGGATTAGCCACAGTAGAGAATACCAAACTGAGACTCCATACCTTCGGCTCAAATAACATCCAAGAGGAGCCGAGCCGACGCGTTCAGTTGGATACCTGGGATGAGGACGGGCAACCCCTTAGGCTAAGTTTACATACGCATAAGATTCTGACTAAGGCGTTAGCGACTCCGCCCATTCTTAAAGACGATATAGACTACATAAGATCTCTGAAGATCCCCTTCGAGTAGATCAAAATCACAGCCAAGTAAAACCGCTCATTTTGCTTGGCTGTGATCAAGTCTGGTCACTGATTCGAGAAGGTCAGTCCCACATTCAGCTTCCATCGGGACTCCACCTGTTACCGACGCGTATAGGGCAGCTAGTTGCAGGGCAGGTCCACAGTTCTGACCCAACCCCCCACGTATCCAACGTGCTCACCCTTTCGGAAAAATGGAAACGAGTGTTGGTCTTATAGACACTAGTCGTTCATGTCGTAGCGGAGGATCTAGAGCCAACCGAAGAAGTCGAGTTGTGGACAAAGTACTGGGAGCTGGATAAAGCAGGTACTGAGGAGTTCGGGGAGTCAGAGGAAAAGGTTCAGCGGATGCTAGATCAGAAGGTATGGGATCAATTCAAGGAAACGGTTGAGAAACGAGAGGATGGCTATTACGTACGCCTGCCTTGGAAAGAAAAAGATATGTCGCTACCCGATAACCGAGCAATCGCGTACCGACGCCTGGTTAGCACGTGGCTTTCACTTAGCAAGGACGGTGATCTACTGGACAAGTACCACGAGGTATTCCAGGACCAGCTGAAGCAAAACATCATTGAGGAGGTGGATGAAAACGAGAGAGGTCAGTAGGCAACCGCGTTCACTACATACCTAGGCCATTAACTTACCTATAGTCCCCGCCATTAACTGCTGGATCGTTCTTTTGGAATGCGAATGGAATAGGTCTATAGAACTCATCGGGCGTGTAATCGATGCGGCTTGTATAGTAGGACCGGTAGATATCCTCCCGCGTTTGTGATGGTTTTCGTCGGTTCGCTTCGATTTGCGGACGAATTGGCAATTAATTGCGGATGTTTATGAGGGAAGGCTGTGTAAGGGCCACTTCAGGAATTGACGAGGCCGAGATGCGACGAAGTTTCCTCTGGGTTACTAGTCTACGCCTCCTTCCCAGAATAATATTAAAGTCTATCGCTTTACACGAGTGACATTTGGCCTGTTGTCATCTCCGTTTCTCTTGGCAGCTACGATTCACTTCCACCTCGACCACTGCCAGGATAGCGATGTATTAGTTAAGTGTTTAAGGAGAGCTATAGCGTAGAACGTTATTGTTGTCATCGGACTCCAGGAGGAGGGAGCTAATTCGACGTACTCGGTACAAAAGGATCTTTGTTGGAGAGAACTCCATATGAACCTTAGAGAGTTCGTCTCTAACGACCACGAGTTACGAGCGGCAATAGCGGATAAGGATAAATCCCTTGAACTCTCCCCCCAGGTTCTGGGTATTGTTTGGAGACTTCCCCAGGGAACGTCCTGTATTTGCTGTCGAGTTTCGGCGCGCGAGTGATGCAAGACGAGCGAAGAACTGTGTGGCGAGTTGCCTCGGATCGGTATCCATTATGACCCGTATGGGCATGTGGATGCTGCCACTTTTCATAAGCTATGGTCTTTGTGCAGTCGTTATGGAAACCGCGCGTGATGGGCTATTTCGGAATCGCACCTACGGCAGGAGAGGGCGGTGAGGTGGACCGCGGGATCTTGTGACGAATATTGTTTGATTTAGTGTGTACATCCCGGCGGGTTCTAGCCAAGTTGCCATATCATCTGATAAGCTTTGCTGACGCACGCTGAGCATGGGGGGCCGAGTGGAAATACGTTGTATCGGTTTGGAAAAGACTAGTGGAAAGATCAAGTCGCACTTATTTTTGATTGGTAGCAAGCTACCTTAGGTATTGGTGAAGTACATACCAAAGTTGGAGTCTGAATGCGATGATTTTGTCGAGGGCGCTTGATTATCGTCTTCTAGGTGCGTCTGGTGGTCACTATTGAATCGTGGTATGTTCTAACGCTCGGAAATCAGTACGGTTGTGGTCAAATTGCGATTTCACGACATGCGCGGACATTTATAAAAAATCGCTTGTATACGAGATTCAACGGACATGTTAGACGCATCTAAGGATTTAGGCCTGCATCAATTCGGGATCTTCGCAGGTGCAACCGGCGGATTTGTGGCGCCAGGTAGCGGAGATTGAGGAAGCAGAGTTGGTCTCGTTTTTGTGTGGCGGGCCCAGAGTTTCTGGCAGGTTCCTCTGTTACTGGATGGCAATTGGTTGAAGGCCATCATAATCAACTACTTTCGGAAGAAGAACAGGATGATTCTTAAGGTCTGGCAGGTCGTGGACATTCACTGTTTAACCAATCGCTATCGAGTTAGCGACGTTGGATCCAGAGTTCTCCATCTTCGGTGCGCGGAGGACCCTCAACAACTTAAGCGGGACTGGTGCATACGTTGATATGCTTATTCGAGTCTAGCGTTCTGAGTAAAAGTCAACGTAGGATTTTTCTGATAAGTATATCGTAGGACGCTCGTCGGAACTTTTTTCCGATTATTAATTGAGGCGACGGCCTCTTTGGGTGCGTGAGGAAATGCCTTAGCAGGGGAAATGCGGTAGCCAAGGCTCAATGCAGTATTCGGCTCCAGGCTCTTAGGTTCTGCACTTAATTAAGATGGTGTGGTGACCGAGCTTTACACTTGATGGCGTCTTGGCGGCCTAGGTGGGAGGGGTCGCGAAGGGATGGAGAGCCCAACTTTCTATGTGGGTGTATCGAATCTTGGTTGTCGAATGCGTAGTACTGTACCCCGTAGGGGTAATCTTTACCGATTCATGGACGCATTCCGGCCAACGTGTCTGGTACCTAGCTGCGAGCACAAGTCACTGGCAGTAGTTCGGGGTGTGTTCGTGTCAGTGGTCACAGGCTCGGGGTTTCTACCCGAACAAGTGACTTGTGTCCCGCGAGTACTGCGATCGGCGGCCATTTGGACATTGGTCGGTTTAGTTATTTCGGACTCTTAAATAAAGGGGGGAAGAGGGCGCAATCAAAAAAGTTGTTATGGGATTGATAATCCGTGTTTTAGCATCACGATTGTTTCCGCGGGGGCAGGGTTATTGATTCTTCCTAGGTTTCAAATGCCGGAGGTCTTTTGCTAGAAGGGGTTATCAAATCTAGTTAACGAGTGATAATGCCCGACTTTACGTATTGGGGTACCGTTTTGCAAGGATACCATGATATGCGGGGCCGATCAGTTTCAAGATTGATTAAGGACACGAGATTCAGTGGAACTATATCATTTTGGCATGGAGGGGCGTCTGAACGCCTTAATAAGAGCCAGGTTTAAATTGGCTTTTACAGTTCCCAGGAGGCTAGCTATCTGCAGAAGAGTATGTCTCGGTTTCATGGAATAGGGCCATGTTGATACCAGGACACTGTTGTTAACTGGCGCGGGCCGGCGAATAACCTCTAGACTGGAGCGTTTTTGCGAAATTTAATTTTGAGATTCTTTCATATGATTGGAGTGCGGATTCACTGTGAGCCTAAGTAGGTGTTCCGACGAAGAGTGTGTGACGCTTGCATAACCAAAAGTGAGTGATGGAAGCCGCTGAAAAGCTAATTGCGAATGCCAGAAAAGTTTTTGGCAGATGAGCACCCGGTACTACCTTTACGGAACGTATCAACGAGAGGGTTGGTCGCACGTGGAAGAGCGACGTGCCGAAAAGTAGGAAAAAGTCTGTATGTTGACGCGCTTCCACTCGGTTCCTGGAGAAGGGGTCGTATCGAATATAGTCCCCACCGAGGGTAGCTGGTACGACGAAGCGAGGCGTTCCTTCAAACTCATCGTAAATTAGAGAGACCTCGTGGAACTTGTGGGGGGTGCCCTAGAATCGATGTGACCGTAGGCTCGAGGAGGAATGAGGCCGGAAAGGGTAGCTCCCGAAAGGAAGTACGAGTTAGGGGATTGGAATGTACCAAAATGAAGACAACCCTGATGGTAGGGAAGCTTCAGCGTTGGTAGAATTCGCCGAGACCAACCGCGTATTATGGTCGAAATTTCGGTCAAATGGGCTCGAGGTCCAGATTGCAACAACGGGCCTGCCCATTAAATTGATGCCGAATTTCCTGAGCCTTTTGTTCAAAGGTCCTTGTGTTTTTTCCAGGGTCGCGGGCGAACGTGAGCCGGCGGGTAACTGCCAGATAAATCGGAGCAGCTGGCGGTGTTGTGCTACGGTTTGAGAGTAATGTTTGCTTTCTTCACTCAGAAAGTCTTGAACTGTTGTGACTCGAAGAAATTTTGCTTGAGTTGAATAGTTACGGTAGAGAACATTCGGTTCCTTGCCCGTATTCTTCATTGGGCTGAAACTGTGGTTTATGGAATTTGAGAGGGGTGGCCAAGTCAACGGTAGAGTTACGTTTGCCAGCAGGCGCCATTCTGTGGAAAATATGGATTGCACCTTGTGCGCAGCAGTATATTCAACTACGAATGCTGGCCCATAGGGGCAATAATAATCAGTGCTGTTTTCCTTTATTTGGTACTAATGGGATGCTATGTCTTCCTATATCTCCCGCTGGTAATTGGTCGACCTGTACGAGTTTTAGCGAGTTTGATGTGGGCCGGTTCTATCTGACCACTGCTGATGGAGGGTGTGCGCGCATGTTTTCCGGGTGATTGACAGAAGATGTTCCGAGAAGTAATGGCAGAGGATTTCTGGGACTTGGGGGCCCCATTTAGCGGTGGTCCGATCTTGGGTATCTATTCTGGCCGAGTTTAAAGGTTGTCAATTATGTATGTTCCTCACTGACGAGTGTTCGGAAGGAAGAATGATGTAAGGTCGCTGGTAAGTTTCGGAAGGTGTGAATCGCCTTCAAAAAAGCCGCAGGGCTATAAGTTACGAAGTAAATCTTCAGTAGTACGTGAGATTCGAGTTACATGGGATTCACTTCGTCTCTCATGCGAGCCTCAGAGTATGCTTTTCACTCGTGACACAACATACCACGTGATTGACAGTAAAAGATGCCCCCACCTAGGCTCGTGCAGAGATGACAAATGTGCAGCGATCAATAGATCTTCACTGATCGACGAGTTGAGCGAAGGAAATCAATATCCCGGAGTTACCTCATGTGTCGAGTCTTGCGGAGGGTTTGGCTGTGACTGCTTCTGGTGGGGTTCAGGTTGCTTATTTTACCGCGTGTATCTTAAGCCAAATACAACCCAAATTTTCGAGATCTTCAGATGCACAAGATGGAACGAGGCGGCAAAACTCAGAGTAAGACATACGGACGTGTTAACACAGAAAACCAAAACGTACGTGGCTCTTCTACGGCCCAACGTTCCGCTAAAATGGATGTCTTACTCTTTTACCTTAAGTTCGATAACAGTTCCCCCTCTTCCGACTTTGAATAATCCATTTATCACGGATGGGACAGATACTGCGCTGTGGGATTCGCACCTGGTGCCTCCACTTCAATAAACAACCCCAAAATCAGCAGAGACTCTCCAGTGCGAGGTAATGGAGGACTGCGCATGCAGTTCAGCAGAAACGAAAATGATGTGTAATTGTAAGGAAGTCAACATCTCAAGCTGGTTTCAAAACTTGCAGAACAGACTACCTGTTAAGACACCTTCCTCTGACATTCTTCAGGAATCGAGTGGGGAACGTAGAAGCCCGCATCCCGACTATGACGACATCAGAGATCATACTAACAGTTGATGAAGACCTTGAAACTGAGCTCTCGATCGAAGACACGAAATGTCGAGTCGATAACGCGTTATTGATTGGTTGTTATAAGTGTTCGAAGGGAGCTGTAGCACAAGTGACATGTAGGTCATCTAAACCAACGCTTGCGGAAATCATTTGTGACCAAACGAGTTTCACTATCAAGTGTAACGAAAGAGGGCAACAATCTTCCCTGCTATTCAGTTTTTCCCAGGCTAGAGTGCATATGACGTGTTCGGTTTCGTGTGGTTCGGAGATAACAAAATTTGAGCTTAGTGGCATTCTAAAGTTCACCCAAACAGCTCAAGCGATGGCAAACTACTGGGTCAAAGGAACGAGTAATACCGCGGGGGAAATGGAATGGCCCGATTTTGGTCACATCGGAGACGTGTTTATGCACTGGTACAAATCCTTTAATACTGGCAATGACTACTGCTTTAATTGCCGTTGGCCTCACTTATCTATTCATTTCCACATGTGGGGCACGCTGCATTGTGTTCATGATGCGCCAGTTTTTTCGACTCTACTGGCAGTTTTTTCGCGTGTTTTTTCGCATGCTTTTGCTATCGCAGGAGCCTTGGTGCGATGCATCCGCAAGAGAACAGCATTGATTTTGGAAAATACGTCTACGAAAACTTACAGAACCTTAGCGGTAGATCCACAAATACGAGTTCTTTAGTTCTTAAATTAAATTCAAAGAAGAAATTTATAACAGGGATCTCCACCATTTTCAGGATGGCGAGTAGGGAAGAAGGACGGCGACATCAAACTGGTCATTCGATTCTGGCGATCAACACGAGTTTTGGACCAACAGCAAATCCAAATGGAACTCGAAATGGCAGCGATTTCTCTACAGCGGCAGAAGAAAATTGCAAGTACCTTGGTCACTCAATGGAATCATCACAAGAACGAGCATACCTTCATCTGCGCGTCGGCAGGAGAGCAGTTTTCGTTCACAACTCACTGCTTGCGTGAGGCGGAGGTGACGAAGGAAAAGATCCTTCGCATGGGAACCCGTTACCTGATCATGGACTTTCTCTACGAGTATATTACGGAGTGGGGTGAAGCATCGAGTTTCGGAAGACAAGACTTCATCGCACGCAAACGAGACTACGCTTTTGGACCAGAGGCTATTCGGGATTTGATCACCACCCAGCGTGACATTCTCGACATAGAGATCACCGACATGAAGGCCATGATGGAGCGTCAGGAGCGAGAAATGAAAGAAAAGGATCCTTTAACGAGTATGCATGTGCAGCGAATTCGTTCAGAAAGAAATCGAGGTGCTTGAAGGGTCAGCTTACTTACTCGTACGGAATTAGATGCTCTCAGAAGGAAAATGGATGAACAACAATCTGAGATGATGCTCCTCCAAGAAACTATGGCAACAAAGACGACCCCCGCTCTCACCGAAGAACAAGAGGATAATGACCAGGAGCTCGAAAATGAAGAAGATGAAATAGAGGAATTCGACGGCGAGGAAGGGCCGGACAATCTAGACAATGATGACTGTTATTGGAACAACATGGTCAGCGAAGTGACTGACGAAACGAGTAATGAGGATGAAGCGAGCAATGAGGACGGAACGAGTAAGGAAGGTGTGCCGAGTAATCATGGTCTACCAAGTAAGGATTCGATTAATGACAGTTATAAGGTAGAGCTTCCGGCTCCTAGTATTCACAGTACCGTGAGAGAGGTCGAGGAAAAGTTATTACAGATGCGCGTTCACCTCAACCGCTTCCCATTCCGAGATCGAAGGGATAAGTCGCAGGGAATATCTCGCAAAAGAACTTGCGCTTTCTGTGGGGCACGGGGAGTTCATTTTTCCGATGCCTGCCCTTTCGTTCGTAACGGCGACACGCGTTACAATATCATTGACAGGAAGGAATGGTGTGTCCACTGTCTCGAAGCTCCAAAAGGTCACCCATGTAGATACCGTAAGAGGGAGTGTTTTTATTGCTATCGATTAAGTTTTACAGTTTTCGAAGATTTGCGTCGAAGTGATGGAGGCTTCCACCATCGTGCCGTTTGCAATGTTCCTGACAAAAAAATGGTGGCGTATGCACGCATGAAGGAAACAGAGCGAGAACTTATGGCGGCTGAAGAGCGTGGAAGAAAGGACGGCCAGAGAATGACGTCATTCCGGTAAGCTGGGGCCGGAGTGTCGACGATAGTCGACCAAATGTAATGCCTAAGTTTAGTGTAATGTTGGTTTACGGTAGTGCTTTAGATTTGAAGATATGGCAGATTGTTTTCATGTAAAAGTCAGCGAAGATTCATAAGATTCCAGCGCGATGGATATAAGGGAGCCGCCCACGAGATCGAGGCTTTTGGCTCTAGGAGGTTGCTGCCTAGTCAACGTCTTCGAGTTTCGTCCGTTTCATCTACATCGCTCCTATGGCGTTCATCGTCGCTGTATTCAACGGAAACTAGTTCATCACTCTATCTACTGGTTCATAAATAAAGCTTCAGTTGATTCG